CGGAAAATAAATTTATCCAAAAAAAAAAATGCACGTAAACGCAAACGTAGAGTTTTATTTCTACACTCCACCGTATCATTTTAATCTAGTGTTTTTGATGTTGTTTGTTGATGCGTATTAAAGTCCTAGTATTGTAGTTCGTGTTTTAAAGAACATTGTCACGAATGCACTTTTGCGCATGTTCTTTTACATGTACGTTTGTGCATGTCCATGTGAGCGGAGTGTGCCTTGTGCATGTCTGTTGATTTGTATTAATGTCTTTGGATTTTAGTTTGTGTTTTCATGATCCTTTTTGCGAATGCACTTTTCCGTGTGTAATTTTGTGCATGCTTTTATACACTAACTAATGTGGGTATCTTACAGACGAGAGTTTTTGTGCACGTTTCTTGATGCGCATTCATGTCCTTAAATGTATGTACGTATTTTCATTATCGCTTTTAGAATCGAATTTTGACCATGTTCGAGTCCGAATTTGGATTTTTCGCGTTAGACATGAATTGTAGCCAGCTGAAATAGCTTTCTAATGCCACTGGAACCAGTTAATATGGAGTCAGATAGAGAAAGATATATTTGTATTTGTGGATGTACATATATATAGATATATATATATATATATATATATATATATATATATATATATATATAAACGAAAGTTTAGCTCGCCTTTTGACACTTTGTACCATTGGAAAAGATTAATAGTATTTTGCATAAGCTATTAAATCACTCAATATATATGAACCCTAAAGTCAATAATTAAATCACTCACATTAAATCCGCCCAGTTATGGCTTGATAGCCTAATATTTTATTTTATTATTTATTTTTATTTATTTTTTAACAAACCCATGAACTGATATTGAAGGAAGACTGATCTTCCAATATAGTTTTATCAAATTTATTCGCCTATCAATTTCTGAATATTTTGTCTTTGATGGAGACTGCACATTTTATCTTTGATTCAGTACAAAATATTCAGAAATTGATAGGCGAATCATAGACATCAAACAAATCAATATTTAGGGTCGGTTAAGAAGCTGTTTATGGCGGCCGGTCACGACGGATTCGGTTCCGTGGACAGTGCCGTTCCAGTTTCGTTGCAACGACGCGGCTGCGTCGCGGCCGGAGCGGACACATTTAAATAAATTGTTAAAAATATACAATATATTTGAAATATGTTTTAAATAACATTATTACAATTCAATAAGATGCAAAATATTATTACAATTTCAAAAATAAATATTACAAAGAATATTTTGAAAATACAAGCATTATG